AATTTATTTTGCATGATTATAAATTGCATCTTATTTGTGATTTAGAGAAGTTGTTTCTTTGGATCATACTCGATATGGATTAACGGACCCTACGAAGGTTTATAATTTGACCGGTAAACTTTTGTATATAATCTTATATTAGGGTGAATCGGCGGTGACGCACAAAAATTTACGATTGCTTTTTTTATTAAAAAAAAAAATTTTTTAAAAGATCTTAATGATTACTAATCAACTTAATATCTGGTTTTGGTGCTGCAAAAAGGGACGAAATTGTCAAAAAAATTCTTTCGCAGAAAATTGATTTTTATATTATAAATTTTATAATAACTTCAAAGAAAATAAAAAAACTTTAAAGAATTATACTGCAAAATTTTATTAAGATAACTAAACATTTGTTCCTTAAGTGAAAAAAATGTTTCGAGACTAATTTTAGATGAGATAAGCTTAAAAAAATTTTTTTAAAATTTCAATTTCGTCCCTTTTCTCAGCACTTACAAAATTACGAGAAAACTTTAAAAAATTAAAAAATACAACTTATGCGTCTCCGTTGACTCACTTTATATCGAAAAATTGCAGTCAAGTATAATAGAATATTTATTGGTTATATATAAGGAATCTTGCATGTAAACGAATCAAAAACCTCAACAAATTCAAAAGTTGAAGCAAATCTCGAATATATTATTTCGCATTTAAAAAAAGTTTATTGTGGTAAAGTTGCTTACGAGTTTATGCATATTCCGGTGAGTATTTATTAACACTATTTAAAAAATGTAATATAATTATTACTGATAATAATTTTTGGTAGTATGAAAGTGAAAGAAGATGGTTTTATTACATGATAGAAACTTTTAAGACTGTGTCGTTGACCTCTCAACAAAAACGAAGAATTTTCGAAGTATTAACTAGATCGGAGGTATTAAAAACTTTCTCAGATTAAAATTTATGTTGCTATTTAAAATAGATTCATTTCATTTTGTAATTAAATAGGTATTCGACCATTTTATGGCAAAGAAATTTCCTCAAGTCAAACGATATGGTCTAGAAGGTGCCGAATCAATGATTGTGGCTTTAGATAGACTATTCGAGGTGTCCAATAAATGTAATTTTTTCTTTTTATTGTGACCTTTCTTGATGAAATTAATTGATGTTCTTTTTTTCGTAAATCTCATGTGTACTTTGAATTACTTATTAGCTGGAATTGTCGAAGCTGTTTTATGTATGCCACATAGAGGTCGTCTAAACCTATTAACAGATTTGCTACACTTTTCACCAACAAGACTGTTTCACAAAATTAAAGGAAATCCAGAATTTCCTGAAGAGTTACCTGCTACTGGTGATGTTCTTTCACATCTCTGTACGTATTAAAATTTTATACTTTTATCGTTATTATTATTATTATTATTATTTATAATGCTTTTAATTTTATGAAATCTTATAGCCATCTCACCAACATTGGAATACGGTGGTGCAAAACCTATTACTATATCAATGCCACATAATCCTTCTCATCTTGAGGTATATCATATTTTCTTATGTTTGATCTGAATTAAATTACAATTTCACTCTTTAGAATTTAGTTTCTGCACATTGTTAGGTCATTATTATTAGTTTATTTCGCGAAAACTTTATTAAATTTTTATAATTCTATTCTGCGTAAAATTATGACCGAGTTCTATAAATTGTTAGTCGATTTACATCATATTTTGCTATAGAGATTAACCTATTTTTTATGATAACAGGCAGTAAATCCAGTAGCGATGGGAAAGGCACGTGCAAAACAAATGGACCTTATAAAATCAGAAACTGATTGTGAACTTGGTGATCGTGTTATATGTGTACAATTACATGGTGATGCGGTAAATTCACATCATATTTTATTATATTTATTTTTTTTTAATTTGCATCCTTTTACTAAAAAGAAAAAGAAAATAGGCATTTACAGGGCAGGGTATCATAATGGAAAGTTTTGGATTATCAAATTTGCCACATTTTTCATCTGGTGGATCGATACATATTGTAGTGAATAATCAATTGGGTTATACAACTCCTGCACAAAATGCTAGAAGCAGTTGGTATTGTAGTGACATAGGAAAAATGATTAATGCTCCTGTAATTCATGTTAATGGTGATTTTCCTGAGGTATATTATATTTCATGCTGAAAATTAGTTATGAAACTATTTGGAGTTAAAAGGATTTATATTTCAACTGATAGGAAGTGACTCGGGCTATTGATATGGCATTTGAGTATAGAAACAAGTTTCGAAAGGTATAATTTAATTCTTTTAATTAAAACATCTCATGTATTATATATATATTTTTTCTAATGTGCTTTACTTAAATTAGGATGTTATCATAGACTTGATAAGTTATCGTCGATGGGGACATAATGAGCTTGATGAACCTGCATTTACACAGCCATTGATGTACAGCAATATAAGGTCAAGAAAGAGTGTGCCAAAGTTGTATGAAGAAAAGCTATTGGTAATATATAGTTTTTTTTTTATTTTTTTATAATAATTAGGACTAAAGTCATATATTAACGAATTTTGATGAAATAATATAGACGGATGAATCAATTCTTTCAGAGAATGACATTTCAGAATTTAGAAACAATTATTTTAATACTTTAGAAGAACATTATAAAAAGATTGATACATATAAACCAGAAGTATGATTTGTAGATTACTTGATATGCTTTTTTTTTAACATAATAAACTGGCTAAATTGATTATAACATACAGGCAGATATGCTAAAAAAGAAATGGAATGGATTTATAATGCCAACTGAAACTGTTACTAAAATGGACACAGGTATGAAATATATGTTATTTAAAAAAAATATTGAATAGTAAATAACCGGAGTTAGTACAGATTGATCAATGGTCAAGCCCGACCAGACTAATTGTACCAAATTGGTCAAATAGTCTAGCCATTCAGGTTGAAGAATTTAATTGTGACAAAAATTATAATAAGCGAACCTTTCTTTGACTTCTAATTAAAGTTGTAGAGTTTGCTTTTCTGATTCTAATGATTATCAAAATTGGCCCAATATATTTGGAATTAAAAATTTGTAACATATGGTGCTGCCAAAGGAAAACCCGTATATCTAGAAATAGATGATTATGAATTTCACAATGATCTATTAGATATACGCGTTTTTACTTGGCAGCATTCATATATTATAAACTATAATACGTGTATAACAGTAGATTTGTAGATTATAATTATTCTAATATTTAACCCAGGTATCTTAGGATCTGACTGATCATTAGAATTAAAAAAGCAAGCTCTACAATTTTAATTAGATCAAAAAAAGAGTTATTTATTAAAACTTTTTAATTTTAAAAAAATATACTAATAAGATTAATTTGGTTAAATCGCTCAAACAGAATGTGACAAATGAGCTAATTATTACATGGATATAACATAAAATAACTTTTGCTTTTATTTATTATATCCATATAATACAACTTTAATTAAAAGTTTAAAAAAGATTTATGATTAAAATTTTATACAATTAAATTCCTTAATCTGATTGTCTAGATAATTTAACCAGTTTAACTAAACCAGTTTGACTAAAAGCCTTTGACTAAAAGCCATTGACCAAAAAATTTTTGACTAACCAATAATTTAATCAACTCCGTAAATAATCCAAATTTTGTTATATACCTGTGCATTATATTATAGGTGTTTCAAAGGAAATTTTAGAAAAGATTGGAAAGATATCGGTTCATATACCTCAAGAGATTGTATATTTAATTTTATTTCTATTCAAATATTTATTTATAATAATATATAATAAAATAAAAAATTTAATAATTAATAGGCAGTTCATCCAAGATTAAACAAATTTCATATCCAAACAAGATTGCAAAAAATTTCTACAGGAAAGAATATTGACTGGGCTACAGCAGAGGTTTGAATATATCATATATATATATACAGTCAACTACCGAAAATAACGGACACCCTTACACCGGTTTCACGGGTTTAATGAAGTGCCAAAATTTTGATAGGAAATTTAAAACGATTATAACGGATTCAATAATAAAAAACCCATATTATGTATAACAGCCAATGCGGTAAATTTAGTATATTGACTTACTACCACTCAGAGCGCAGTTCTACGACCGCGATTGTACCAACGACTATTCAAAATCTGACCTGAAAAGAGGTCTATAACGGAGTCTAATATTGATCAAGCCCATTCCGTTATATAGGCATAACGAATATGCTGTATACCGGAACTATAGTTGATTGCATATATATATATTTATCTTTGCATAATTTCTCTTTTGTATTTCTGCTGTATGACTGCTACATAATTTTTTTATATTAACTTTGAAAATAGGCGTTAGCACTTGGATCATTAATGCTAGAAGGGCATAATGTAAGATTATGTGGTCAAGATGTTGGTCGAGGAACATTTAGTCAACGTCATGCAATGATCGTATGCCAAAATTCAGAAAAAATTGCTGTGCCTTTGAATAACTTGGCACCTGATCAAGGAATGCTTGAGGCATGTTTTAGATCAATTTTCGTTTTTAATTACAGTACTTGGTTTAGAACTTATTCACATGAACGCTGGGTTATTTTTAAAATGTATAGATTGTAAATAGCCCTCTTAGTGAATTAGCCGTTGTAGGATTTGAGTATGGAATGTCATCTGAATCTCCACACAATCTTATTATCTGGGAAGCTCAATTTGGTGACTTTTTCAATGGGGCACAAGTTATTATTGACACTTACATTTCTAGCGGCGAAGGTAGATATATCATGAAAAAACATTCTAAAGAAATTTATTGTTTTAATGACAGTAACTCTTTTTTAGTAAAATGGCTGAGACAATCTGGACTTGTGATGCTTTTGCCACATGGTTATGATGGTGCAGGACCTGAACACTCTAGTTGTAGAATTGAAAGGTTTTTGCAGGCAAGTCTTTAATTCTTAATTTTTTATTCTTACAATTTAGGAATCCTAAATAATACCTAAAGAACAATGCTATGAAGTTTTTTTAGTTAATTATAGTGTTAAATCCTTTAAAATTAACCAATTGTATTGACAAAACTCAAAATTTGCCACCTTAATTCTGGCCAAAATTATCTGGAATTAGCATAATTCTGGCCAAAATTACTAAAAATTTTTTTTTTACCAAATGTTGGTTTATATTCTAATGATCATATTATCAATTATATTGCTTTATTTTGTGTAAAGTTATACAGAATACATCTAAAATTTGGCCGCCCGTACTGTATTTCTAAAAAAAACAATGCACTAACGTCTTATCATATTATAATTATACTAGTTAACAAATGATAGGTTTGATATCTTAGATGAAAGTATACCAAATAATCCAAATATGCATATTGTGAACCCAACTACTCCTGCACAATATTTTCACGTTTTAAGAAGACAGGTATTATAATATTATCAGATTATGCTATTTATCTTTGTTTGTAATATAGGTGATATGATGATAATAACATTTAATATTTCGGTGATATAGATGAAAAGAAATTTTAGGAAACCGTTAATAATAGCTACACCAAAACTATTACTAAGATCACCTGTAAGTTTTGTTTATTTATCTAGTGGCTTAATATTAAACTAAGAATTTTGTAAATATAGGTGGCAGTATCTAATTTTGAAGATATGTTGCATGGAACTACATTTTTACCTATTATTGGAAATAAATCCGTTGATGATGATAATAAGTAAGTTGAATTTATCTTATTTTATATTTATTTGACAATTATTTGTTGCAATATATTTTTTATTTTACTATATTTTGTTGATTATTGAAACTGAAGAGTTGAAAAAATTGTATTTGTATCGGGAAAACTATATTACGATTTGATTAAAGAAAGGCAGAATAAGAAAATTGAAGATAAAGTCGCTATTATTAGATTTGAGGTATGTTAACTTACTGGTTAATTGAAAATATAACAATTGTCATTAATAAATTAAAGATTCAATTATAAATGCTTCTGCAAATATTCATGATGAATTTTTCTTGTACTCATAGGAGTTATGCCCATTTCCAAAATCTGATGTTGAAAAAGAATTAAAAAAATATACCAATGCTAAAGGTGTTTAAAATCTTCATTTACAATACTTTATTACTCGTTATTCTTTTCATACTTATAAATTTAATAAAAATAGAATTTATTTGGTGTCAAGAAGAGCCACAAAATAATGGTGCTTATACATTTGTTGAACCAAGATTAAGGCAGTTATTGCCATTAAAACAAGAGGTGACTATTACAAATTGTAATTACTTATTTATTTTATATAAAAGAATTGTGATTTCAATTTATTTTTTTTGACTTTATATAGCTAAAATACATAGGAAGACCACCAAGTGCTGCACCAGCAGTCGGTATTTCACAATGGCACAATGCGGAAATTAAAAAGATCTTAGAAAGTGTTTTTTAGATATTAGTAATTTTTACTAAATTTAAGTTTGCTAAACTATTTTAATAGATTTAATAAATCAGCAATACAATTTTTGTTATACTTTATAATAGCTGTTATTAAAATTATCTGATGTTAAATCTTTTTTTTATCTAAACTCCTGTTGTTGAATAACGGGCTATACATAAAAAATTCTGTTGTAATTAGAGATTTTAAACCGTTTAATTATAATTCTGTAGCCGTTTTATCTAAATAACTTTTTTTTTATAGCGTTTTTCAAATTTATACATACAGTACATACATATATGCTCTTATATCATTACCAGAACGCGTAACGATATTGATAATACAGGTTACCCCTGTCAATATCAACCTCGTTAATATCAACCTAAGCCACAAAACAAATTTTTATAAATTTTTATATATCAAAATTCCCTCATATATATCAACTTTA